TAAAAAAAAAAAAAAAAAAAAAAAGGCAGTATTACAGGAAATCTAAATGTGCCATGGACTCCTGAAAACCAGCCTGGGTATGTTGACAGATTTTGTTTGCATTTGTCTTGAGTATTTTAAAGTCTCAGGAAATACGGCCTTGATCCAAATCGCAGAACAAAACACATTGTAACAACTTGTAGCAGCATAGAGGAGGCCCGACTGAGAAGCCTGGAAAGAAGATAAAACTTTTACAGAATCATTTCCCTCTGGAAAGTGAAAACAAGTCCTTTTTATGCTGGGCAGAGGCCTTTCCATGCTCAGATGTGGGTGTAGGACTTGAAGGTTCACATAGGGAAGCATATGGACCAAGCATAGCCTACGATCCAGATCCTCAGAGGAGGGAAGGAAAGAAACATGATGCTGTCCAGTCCTTGGCCCCACTCCCAAAACCACTTGGGGATTCAGTGGTGATATGTAAGGAATAAGAGAACAATAGATAATTTCTCAATAACATGCATGCCATTTGTGTAGATGTTCAGAACTACATATGTGTGGATGTATTTCTCAGCCTACACATGGACATCACAATCCCATGGCATAAAAATAATATGGAGCCTGGTGATGTCAGTTATGACCCCGAGCTGTAATCATAGCCTTATTGCCGCATATTGTGATGTCTACACACTGAACAGCCCATTGATTTTAGGATTTTTTTAATTGTAAGTATTCCTACTAAATGCATTTATCTTTCTACATGTTTAAATATTTTGGTAAAATTAATAGATACTTGGTATTTTAATAAGATGAAACTTCCTCAAGTGTTTGGTTAATGCTTTCATGTCAAGATTGCACATTTTTGAGTTAAAGCTCAAAAGATATTTATGCAGCTTTGGGAATTTTCAACTGCAGACTGCAGTTTTCTTGGCTAAAAATTGCACTGTGTGTTCCTGTGCATTGACTTCTAAGATGACGTCAGTAGCTGTGATGCTAAAGCCACCACTGCCCCCGATGGCAGTGTAGCCATCCTATGACCATTTATTTACTTATTGTGCCAAATGGCATTTTGGTCATCTTGTGCTAAGTAATGGCATTTTGGATGTCACCAAAAATCAAGCGAATGGTTGTAAGTGTGTGTTGTTGGAAGGTGTACACTTCCGTTTCTTTCAACTCTTTTATTCATACACCTAGGCTTTCTGTTCAAGATTTAATCATCCATTTTGGAAAGAATAATTGGCCAGAAAACAAAAAGATTACCTACAAATGGCAGGAAGGGGCACCCCGGCTAGATAAGACCTCCCAATAACTTCGAATGTAGTTAGTGCTTAGTGAAGTCCTTTAATATACATATGCTTTCCTCAATATTGTTTAATATCAGAATTGCTGCTTTTGTATTTTTTAATGGTGTTGCAATTAAGCCACAAGTACACCTGCTACATATTACTAACAAAGCTGGGCAGCTGAGAAATAAAGGAGAATAAATTCTGTAAGGGTTTGATTTGCTTTCATCTTTATCACTAAAGAAAAGGAGTTGTTTGAAAATAAATTTGAGTCCAAAACGTATGGGTAGCATGTTCCCTGAACTTTTAATTTGTACATTTTGATGTCATTTTTTGCATGGAAGAGACAATATAGTGCAGCGTCTGAATTGTTCTCTTGTGCTTGGTAAATATGTACCGTTTCAAATGACATTCCTTACACTTTGGTTTTCAGAGATACTCAAAGCAAAATATAACAGTGGTCCTTTGTTTTCTGACCAATCCAAAAATACCTGTGATTAAATTTAATTTGTTAGTGTAAATATACTTCTTGCCAATGAGTATTGTTGTTAGACAACGAATGCAATAAAAAGAGAAATATGGAGATCTGTTGAAGTAAGTTTTTTACTCTTTGATTTTTCACCTTCAACTAAAACAAGCCTTGACGGGGTAAACCTATATTAACTGTCAAAACACATCCATCAATCAAAAGCAGAGTGCACATTTTTCATGGAAATGAAACTAAAAATAAGTTTTAACTCTAGTAAAGTGTAAATTGGCAGCTAGAATTACATTTGAAAGCACAATTATGGAACTGGTCATAAAGTTAAAAAAGCAAAACCTCTCGTCAAAGTCCCTCCACCCATCTTTCTGTTCACCTGTCTCCGCTTCACCGTCGAAGGTTCTGATGCCTACCAGCCGGTAAAAGGTCTGTGACAGGTCCTTTAGGCAGTCAGCCTCATGCGATGAGAGACAAGCCAAGAAACAATCAGGCCCATTCTGGAGTGCAGGGTTATTTTAAACAGTTTTATTTCTACAACCTTCAAGATTCAGAACACTTGGATGTAACATGTACAATATTAATGTCATTGTCACACACTCAAGCTATATCTGTGACTAGATGTTTGGCTATGTAAAACTTCATATCTGGACATCACAGAATAGTGTATGAATTAAGCTATTTTCCTCTTTCTTCAAGTATGTGTTAGTTCCAAACCAAGGTATATTCCTTTCAGAAGAACTTGAATGCATGCTATGAGAAACTGGACAGCTTTTGCAGAATATGATTATTGCACATGTTATGTGGAATTCTTTTTAAAGGAAATACATGTTTTTTTCTAAGCACCACATTCACAAATACAGTCTTATTTCAGAATCCAGTTTTCTGGGTTGTGGGCAGATCATATCACCAAATAACAGAGCCCTCACAGGATGCTCAGTAGGATACTCCCTGAGACTGTGACTAACCTGAATCGTGATACAAGAAAGTGTTTTCATCAAAACAATGTTTTTGTTTATCACTTTAAATCAGGTTTTAAACACTGATTTCCTAAAGCAACTACCTTAATGTTTGAGGTCTTCAAAAGATGAATGAAGACAGGTAGCATCTTTATATCAGCTTTCATAGCCAAATGGTGAAGTCATGTTTTCTTCCCATGTCTCAGAAGATGACCAAAGGTGGTTGTTGATAGTTTCTATTTATGTTTTTGTCTTTGTATTTTTTTTCTTAATTCCCCAGCTAGTTAGGTGTTTTTGTTGTTTTTGAATTTTTTTCTATGTCTACCATCAGGCACTAGGCACTCTGATAGATTGTGGACTTCATTCTGTGTCCACTTGTTGAATGAACAGACTTCCTTCTTTATCTAGGTCACTGAAATTAAAATGCACAGCTTGTCCTGAAGTAACAGCCACTTGTTTGCAGGTGTGACAATGCTCCCAACAATTTTAAGATTTTTCTAATCGCTTCTTGGCCTTTGGGCTAAGATCAAGTGTAATTTTAAGATTTTCCTATATGCCGTTCCCAAAGGAAAATCAAAAAAGCTAGAGGAAAAGGAGAGTGAGGGGTGATTTAGATTACTATCGCCAAGAAAGTCACAAATAGAAAGTGAAAGTAAGGCTGTCTTTGTTTGCTGCCTTATCAAGGGGGACGGGGACTCAGTACCCAGTACCAACAAATCAGAGAATCAGTTTATTTTGCTTAATGGTTCAGTCCAATTTCAGCAGGCTCAAACAGAAACCATGGAAATGCCTGGGTGGTCAAAAGCTGCTCGCATCTCGTTAACTAGGAAGCAGGCAGAAGCCAGGAGCAAGAATGTGCCCTTCCTGGTCACCTGCCAGTCACCCACCTCTCCCAAACAGACCCCACCTCCTAAGAGCCAGTGAGCTCCAGGACCCCCACGATCCAGTCACCGCCCAAAAGACCCGCCTCTGGGGGCCCTCTGCACATGAACCATAATAAGGTCTCAGTGCTGGTCTGTCCCGTGGCTTTGCCGAGTAGGCCTGCCTGGCGTTTTGGTGTACATTTGGAGAACCCATTTAGTTTTCTGGCATGTGACCTGGAGGCCCACGTAAGGACTAAAGTGATAACAAACTCTTCCTGGTTGCCTGTTTTCTGATGGAGAAACAGCAAGGCAACAATATAACTTACTCGTGTGCATTTAGGGGATACAAGTTTTGAGGGAAATACTTTTTGAATCACCTACATTTCAATTATTTAAGATCTGACAATTGATATAATAAATTGAACCGTTTTAATGAAAAGGATCATTTTATTGGCAAATGAGGTTTTCAGGTATTCCAAGGCTAATTTGAAAATGAACCCTCCAAGTGCCTGGCTCTCCACATCTGCTCCCAGGTAATCAGCACTCCCGCCTCCTAACATCCAAATGCAGCGTCACTGCCCTTTCTCGGGGTTTCTGTGGCCCCTCAGAAGCGGGCAGCTGGCCGGTGTGTGCTCTCTCTCAGGCACCAGGCTGTCAGAGCTCACAGTAGAGAGCCTTGTGGAACACTGTGCCGATGAGCAGTTTCCCTCTGTACGCAGAGGCGACCGTGGAGCCTTGCAGCACCCTCCCATTGTCTGCGTAAACCACTGTGACTATGGGTTGCTCTGTCAAAATGTTCTGGATTCGAATCACCTGTGAAGGAAATAACAGCAAGTTAATTTTCTCTTAAAGTCATTTGAAACTTTATGAGGTTATTTCTCCATAAGAAACCATATTATTTCCTATAACTACATAAACCATATTCTGTTCCAAAATCGTTCTATGTAGATACCTGTTTCCTCTTTTGGAAACAGGTTGTGATCTTTCAAGGTAGCAGGAAGGAGGCAGATGTACAGTGACAGGGAAGGAGGCGTGAATTAACAGTGCTGCCCCGGTGAGACAGCAAGGAGCGCTGGGGACTGCGGTACATGCGGGCAGCAGGGGGACTCACTCAGCCACAGCCAAATGGCTGCCCTGCTGGAGCTCAGGTCTGATTTTGTATATTTTCAAAGAAGCTACAAATTTGGAACCTTCTCTTAATTCCTGACCTTTAAATGTAGGCAGTCAAAGGGAGGGGGGGGGAAAGACATAACTCCCTCCAACAACCTCTGTACCATGCTTGTCCATTCCATCCCATTAAGGTCCCGTCCCTAAATGTGTAAGATTGGATAAGTTCAGTTTCCTCCATTTAGTTGAGAACTTGACTGCAGCATTAGTGGTGCTGTAATGTCATGTTGTACTTACCGTATTAAATAGCTGGTGTTTGATCTTTGTGGCTGACAAAAACAGCGATTTCACATGATTCAACCTAATCCGAAGAGCGTTATTATACTAAAGCAGGAGAATTGGGTCCTAACTTGAATCTGCCACTTACATTTCTTTCTCATCTGAGAATGAGATGGGTGAAGCTAGATTATTTCTAAATTCCCCATCAACTAGGATAAAATATACTCACGTGAAGAAAGGGTACCTACATCACAAAACACAAAGGTGGCAGACTGGGAGGGCCAGTTCAGGAGCACGATGTGTCATTCAAAATGATCTGTTGGCCAGCAGACTCCGAAGACCCAGTTCTTAAACTACCCGGGTGTTACTATGTAGCAGTAACTTACAGGGAGAGAGATGATGGTGCAGCTTGGCCTAACTAAGCCTCCCAGTGATAAAACTAAATCACCCTTTTATGAGGCAGTGCACTAGATAATGAATTGTTACTACTTTTTTTGCTGCTCCTTACCAGACCCATCATTAGAAAGGGAATATTTTTTCCAGAACAACAATCCAAGTCCATGTTATAGTAAATGACCCTAGTTCACCAAATGAGCTAATGAGCAAGAACAAATTAGACTCTAACATTCTGCTCAGTTCCAAACCACAAACACTGCTTGACATACGTTTCTTCAGTTCTATTTAAGCATGCCATTCAGCAATCTTGATAACTAAAAACTAGCAAAAGGCAGAAAGAGTTATCATGAAACATGATCACAGTTTTTTATAAACCTAGATATATAAGACTATATATATATATATATATATATAAGAATAATAATTTAATTGAGAATACATATTTGACTCTTTTATTCAAGAGATATGGTCTTTATGATCTCTCTCCTTTTGGGCTGATGAGAATGACTCAAACCCACTTTAAAAATACTCAGCAGTAAACAAAATGTCAAAAAGGATATGCTGCATTTGATGTAGATAACAAATATAATTAATACACGCAGGAAATTCAAAATGGGAACCCCTATGATAAGTCATGGTAAATATTCCAAATGTCTATGGCATAATGGGTTTCAAATTCTTATTTGCCCTGCAAAATAATCTGCTGCACAAAGAGTAGCACCTCAAAATGAGATCTTTGAACAGCACTGTATCAAAGGTGCAAACAGAATTCTTCTGAGCCAAAATAAATTCCAGAAAGTGATTAATCTCCCCATTCTTCAGGGGCTGTCTACAGAGAATGACCAGTTTTGCTTCAGGACCAGTCTGTGGTACTGATTTGTACGTTCATACTCATGCTCAGTTTAGAACGAGTATGGCCCCTGAGATTCTCATGTGTTCAGCAGTGGGGCCTTGGGAGGGTGATGGGATCAGTGGGGTGCTGTATTCATCAGTGGGTTCATCCACTGTTAAGTTCGTACTGAATGTGCTGTCCGGAGGTGGGGCCACATCAGAAGAGCCGGCTCCTCTCACGCCCTGCTTCCCGGGCCCTCTAAACTGAGCTGCTTTGTTTTGCTTCATCCTTCTGCGAGGTGTCTCTGCGTGGGAACCATGCTACCAAGGACTGGACCTGTGGTCCTTCCTGTGGAACTTCCCCTTTAAGTTGTAGGTGTGAAGTACTACATCTCAGCAACAGGAAAGTGAGAGACCAAAACAGGGTATCCGTGCTCCAGCCTGCATCCCTGTAGCATCACCACTGGTTGCATCCTCACTAGAGGCCAAGTTCCTCTCAGAGGTCTCTCTCCATATCTCACTCTCCCTACCCCACTTTTTTTCAGGGGTTGGACCCAGAGCTGTGTGCGTGCTAGGCAAGCACTCTACCGCTGAGGTATCCCTTCTCGGTCTGATTTTGGTAGTCACTTCCTGCCCCTTTCTTCCCCCTTTGGAGTACTGCACAATCCCTGGTTGATGTCCCTACTCTAAAATCATGTATTTATAGACAGTCTTTTTATTAAACTCCCCTCAAATTACCCAATTTAAATGTATCATCTTTTCTGCCTAGACTCTGATTAAAATGCTTCCAAAATTCCTTTTTATGTGTAATCATTGGATGATCTACCCAGGTACCCTCTTTTATTGAGAGGGGAGAGATGAGAATTGTATTTTCAGCTGAAAAACAAAAGCTAGAAATACAGGCAGTGATATGGTTCACTCGTCAAACTAACCTCTGAGGCAGGAGGATTCTCCGAGTCGTATACGAAGATTCTCATTCCATTGGGATGGCAACCAACCCAAAGGTCCCCTGTCACAGGGTCCACAGATATGTTATCCACGAGTGTGTCAAAGTCAAGGGACTTCCAAGGTTAAAAACGAGGAGAGAACAAAAAAAAAGTGAGAAAACTGTGAAGTGAGGCAACAGTATGTCAGGGAGGCCATCTATGTTTGGTCACCTCTCTCCGGCTTCCAGGGACACAGTCCCACCCCATTTCAATAGTACTTAAGGAATCCCTCTGGTTTTCCATTTATGCTAGTATTTTGTCAGATTCCATGATAAATGGTGAGAGTGGGATTCAGAAAGCAAAGAAAGTTAAATGAAATCATGCGTACTACGATCTGTGCATGAACCTAAAACTAAAAAACAAAACAAAACTTTAAGTGCAGTATAAAATAGCTATTTCTGAAACCCCATGGGCAAATGATTCTTTCAAAAATACTCAGAAAGCAACCAAGAAATGTAGATTTGTTTCTGATGAGGACATAGATGAAATGTAATTTTTTCATGGCTAATCATAGGCTGTGTAGCCAGAGAAGAAATGATCACCTAGGGTCTAATTTTTGTCTGGGAGTTGAGAAAAATTTTTTCTGTTCCCTCATGTTATTCAACTCCTTGTTGTTCTGCCATTTATTCCCTAAATATAAGTTGCAAGTGTGTGATGACTGCACAGATTGAGGCCGAGGCTTTGTACCAGGATCATAAAGAATACCAACGATTCTTAATTCCACCGTTCATCATCTTCGCTGCTTTCTCCTGGAAAGAAATTCCATCTGTTTGTTTACCTCTAACTCTCATTGGGGAAACACTATCTACTGTGTACCTGAGAGTTCAGCCTAGCTACCAGGTGCTCAGGGCCCCAGTAAATAACCAGCCGTGAATCACTGTTAGGCCAGTGAGCGGGCAGGCTGCTGCTGCGAGCCACTGTTGCCTTCTGCTTCCTACTCAAAACAGGGCCATTCCTGTGTCCATGTGAGGGCTCAGTCCACACGGCAGAGCCTCGTTCTCACCATCACGCAGGGCTGTCATTCCTTAGCCTGGAAACAGACAAGGTTGGCCAAAAGGAGCAGCCAAGCAAGCATCCGAATCGATCTTTGCAGCCCCAGAACCATCATCCTTCCCAGTGTCGGCACCTATGCTATCGTGATCAGTTTCTCTACGTGCAGAAAATGGGCATGTCCATTCCTTTGGAAGGGGTACAGCCGATGGGTAGATTTCAAGGTGGACAAAAGCCTGCTGACATGAGAGTTGGAGGTTGGACTGGGAGGACACAGAAGCCTCTGGTCCTATCACCCAGCACACAAGTACTGAGCTCTTTGGTAACCAGTACTTGTGGTTCCCACAAAGAAAGAGTTAAGGGCCCAGCATGGAGACAGTTCTGAATCTGGAAATGAACTCTTTCTCTTATGGCTTGTATCTAAATGTCCTCCCAAATCCTCATGGTCTTAGGTGGGGCTTTTTCTGAGGCAGCTGGATCTAGAGTGTGTCATGCTGAGATTCAGGGTGTGTGATTACTAAATTAATCCACTGATTGGTTGGGCATAGTTCTGGGGATGAATAATAGGGAGAGGCCCACTCTGGGTGTGAGAGCTACCTGCCCTAAGGGTGTCTAACCTGGATAGAATATGAGCAGGACAGAAAGAAGGCTGCCATTGCCTGCTGCCTTCCACATTATGAATGGTTTTATTCTCCTTTGTGATGCTTCTCTGCCATCCCGCCTTGCCTTGGAGCCAACTTTCCTTGGACTGAAATCTCTACAAACTGTGAGCTAAGTAAACCATTCCTCCTTTAAATTTTGGTATTGAGTATTTTGTTTCGGTCACAAGAAAAGTAACTAGGACACTTGGCTTGCAAATATGTGATTCATTGGCATCCTGACTCATTACAGTGGTCTGTGTATCACAGACCCCACTCCCACCGCAACAAGTGGAAGATTTTCCATTCCTTGGCCATGAAGCATAATAAATATGAGAAAAGCTATATTATTAGTTAACAAATATCCCAATTTTGAGAGAAGTAAAACTCACTGAAATGTGACTAACTCATTGACTGAATTTTTTTGGGGGGGGTGTTTTATTATGGTAAAACATATATAACCAAATATTTCATCTTAACCAGTTTTACACATACAGCTCAATGACACTAAGTACATTCACAGAATGGAGTACTACTACTTGTAGGGATATGGACATATCATAAGATCATGCTGTTAAGTGAAATAAGGCGCACAAACTTAAATATTGCATAGTTTCTTTTATATGAGAAACCCAAAAATATAAAGATCAAAAATAAAAGCTAGATGATAAGAAACAGAGAGATAGATGTTTTGCAAAAGGAAAGGGGACCATGAGATGGAAGGAAGATGGGAGAGAAAGGGGGTGAAAAAAAGAATGAAGGTGTGTACAGGTATCGACTCCCACAGTGAGTGTAATCATGGACCGCAAACATGCACTAATAAAAATTAAAATTAACATTAAAAAGTGCAATACCTGACACACAGAAAACAGTGAATTCACACACTATCTGACATTATGCCCATTTACCACCATAGCCATTTAGCTCTAGAATTTTTAATGATCCCAAACAGAAACTCCGTAACCACTAAACAGATACCCTCTTGACTTTTGCTGCCAGCCCCTGGTAACCACACATCTATTTCCTGTTTCTGTGGATCTGCCTATGCGCTGCACTCCAGGTAAGAGGGATCACAGTATTTGTCTTCACTCAGCATCCAGGCAGAGGCATGCATCCAGTGGAAGCGAGCATCAGAGCCATCGTTCCTCTTCCAGGCTAACATTCCGTGGGGCTGGGGGTGGGGCTGCCATATTTGGCAGGACATAAACCCACCATACCGCGTCACAAATTTTACAGTGAGCCACAGCTAGTTTATCAAGCTTGTTGGCAGCCTGAGGTATTTAATTAATGTGATCTTTCAAAAGGAAGAGCACTGAGTTTCAGGAGGTGGCCTCTACTGAGGGTTACATCACAATGGGGTGGGCGTGGTCTGTTTCCGGAAGTAGAAGCCCAATCTGGAACAAGCCTTACTTTCAACCTTGCCCAGCCGGGAGCCGAGCCCTAGCACTCTGTGCTGAGTGTATATTGGGTTGGGTTCTGTGACGAACGTCTTCCATTTTCCATTTATGGAAGCGCCTACTGTGACGACTGCGGTTTATCTTTATTCTCTCAGCCGGTCGGGGCGTGAGATTCTACTCTACTCCAGCTAATACCACACCAGCCCCGTGGTGATCTTCATTGTCAAACATGATGGCGCACTGGCTGTTGCTTCGAGGCAATTTTCAGAGTGAGGCCATCAAGACAGCACCTCGGAGGTGCTGATGGAACAGCTGTGCAGTCGCTGGTGACAGTGCTTCAAGCTGCAGGCGTGGGTGGCAGGAAAGCGGTGGCATGGTTTTTCAGGGACAGGAGATGCTTTCAGTCTCTCCTCTCTTAGTCTCTGCTCTTAGTCTCTTTCCTCCTCTTCCCTCCCCTCTCCTCTCCTTTGTGTTTTTATTCCTTCTGACTGAACCTTCATACTGGGCCAGAACTGGTGGGTGCAGAAGTCGAGTCCCAGTGCATACCCATCCCTACTATGTTAGTCTAGCAAGTATTTGGTGAATGGCTGCTAGGTGTTGGGCAGAAAATCTATCCTGGTGGAGCCTACACACTAGGCAAGCAGACAGATCGTAAAGAAGACAATAAATACACAGGATGCTGTTGAAAAGAAAAAAAAATGCAGTACAAAGAGAGGAAACATGGGATGCAGAAATAGAGCTGCAAGTGGATAGGTAGTGAGGAGAGGTGACATTTCCACAAAAGACTGCAAGGAGGTGAAAGAGAGCCATGGTCATGCAGAAGATGGTCACTCTGAACACTGAACAAAGGGAACAGTCCACATCCAAAGCAGAGCCACGACGAGGGAGCTCTGGGACCAACCTGACACAAAAGAGGTGCAATGGCTGGAGACAAAAGCAAAGAAGTGCAGGCCACCTGGGTCACACCCTGCCGTTCTGAGCATGTGGCCTTTATAAATACCGCACAGAGAAGATCTATATTAGATACAAATTGAGGCTGTTTATTAGCCTTTTCATCAGAATAGAGGAAATAAGAAAAGGAGAGGGGAGTGAGAAAGGACCTAGGAACACAATCCAGATTTAAAGCAGAAAGCATCAAAGTTTCAGAGGTGAGATGTGTGATCCACTGTTTTCCACTCTGCAGGTAAGCAAAAGTGAACAACAAACACATGATGCTGGCGACTCTTAACAAAGGAGTGAAAAATTGGTTCTCAGCCATTCCAATTAGACAATTCTTTTTTCCTCACTTAATTTCACAAATCAATTGGAATCTAATCACTCTGCAAACTTACAGTGTTAATACATCTTACCTTCAGTAGAGTTAAAGTCCAATTAGCATGCTTTTCATACACATGAATCTTGTGAGCCAGCAACTCAGCTATATAGACATACCTTCAAAGAAGCAAGAACTACATCAGAGTTCTCGAATTGATGCAATTCTAAAGGTTACAGTGTGCTGTAAAAACTCTATCCATGGAAGACCTTCATACTTGGAGAATGAAAAATGGAGCCCATCTCAAAGCACACTAATTTCTGAAAGAGCTTGATGAGTTTACAATGCATGAAGGGGTTTTATCTCTGAAAAGTTATTCCTGATGGTGGGAATCTGCTCATCCCTAATTAGTAGGGATCTTAGTATCTTGATTTGTCAACACAACGTCAAGCCCCAGGCTCTGCACTGCAGAGGACAGTGAGCTCTCCTCATGGAGGCTGCAGGGATGGCCCGTGATGACAGTCCCTTCTTTCAGGCCAGAGAAAATACAAGAGATCAAGTGCTTGACTCGGCCCAAGAAGAGTCTTCCTCTCCTCCTGCCCTGAACTCAGCCCCAGCGCTGTGGATTTAGGATTTTGTATAGTGTGCAGTACCAAACACTACAAAGATTCTTGGGGAGCACAGAGTGCCCCAGAGCAGAAGGAGAAACGACGGCCTCACTGTTTCTTACTTTCAAAGACCAGGGCCAATATAAATAACTGAAAGCTGTACATTGATTTTTTTAAGTGTATGTTACTACTGCTCTAAAATCCTTGATAGTATGAGATGAGGAAAGGCATGGATGGATAGACATATAGATTTTACACGTGGATAATGCCACCCAAAGTATGGTCCCTAGACCACAAACACAGCACAAACACTGTACAGGAACTACATCACTAAGAACACTGCTGAGTGAAACTGGCTTTTTTTTTTTTCATAGTAAGATTTTCTTGAAGGAAGAGTGCTTTGATTTAGATCTTGATACTCCTTATCTTGTCACAGACCAGTACCATAGATAGATGTAAATACATAGACATATAGATATAGTTAAATATAGATTCTACTAATATAATTATACACTCAAAAATCTTCAAAACAAATCTGTTTGATAATACCAAATGTTTAGTACAATTCCTTCTCCCCCTCTCTCTGTCTCTCTCTCTGTCTCTCTGGACTGGGAATCAAACTTGGGACCTTGAGCTTGCGAGGCAAGTGGTGCACCACTGAGCTAAACCCCCAGCCATACAATACTTTCTCTTGAAACATACCTTTTCCACTCAAATGAAAATACAGGATACCTTCACTAAAAAGAAATGTTGGATCTGATAAATCTTACTCCTTGAAAAATTAAGAATTTTACCTTTTTCCTAATTGCATTTAAGACTACATATTAAAGTATATTGCATTACTTAGAAAAGAGCTGTGTTCTAAAGCTATCTACTAAGAACCTGAATAAATCCATTACATTCTAATAAGCATACATACTTGCCATCAGGTGAGATACTGATTCCGTTTGCAAAATCAAATCCTTCTGCCACCACATGAACGCCCTCTGGACTGTAATAAGCAACGTATGACCATGCTAAACCCAGGTACATCTCCCAGGACTTGAAGTATGGGTCAGCAAAGTAGTGATCATTTGTGGCATAAAAGTGTTCTGGTCCTACAGCCACAATATCATTCACACTACAATTAAAACACACGCAAAATGTACAGGTGAAGGTATGATATACCACAGGATTATAAGTTGGCTTTCATTCATGTCTATTCCCAAAATCAGGGTGTGGGAGAAACTTTGTATTAGCTATAAAGGCCTAGAATTAATATGGAATCAGTCCTGTCTGGCCAATCTTCAGGGATGATAAGGCTTTAAGAAATCCTAAGAGTGATTACAGCATTGTAATGTAACAATACTATTGGCTATGTCTTGAAAGTAGTGTTATGGTATGATGGTGTGTGCGCGCGCGTGCGTGTGTGTGTGTGTGTGTGTCCATGTGAGCGTGTAGATGCCCTGTATTCATCAACTACTACAGGAGGCCAGCAGTCAGAGCAAGGTGAGTGTGTGCTCACAGGGGACTGACTGTCTGCTAAAGGTAGAAAGCAGTGGGGAAAACGTCAAACCAGTAGCTTGAAGACTTGTGTTTCTAAAGCTCTGTACTGTTAGCTGTGCAATGGAGGGGAAATCAATCATTTCACAAGGCAGGGCCTCTATTTCCTTATCAATGAAAGGAAGATGATAGGTCGGTCCATCTTCCAGCCTGAAAGTTTTGTGATTCTAAACTGAATAAGATGTCCATGTACAACAATGTTCAGAAATAGATTGCCTGGTTTTCTCTCTCTCTCTGATTAGGATTCTCTCTGTGTCACTGAAAATGTAAGATATACAAGTCTATTTTTCTGCTTTAATGGGTACAATAGCAAACACATAAGTGAGTCATTCCTTGCTGATCGAGGTGATGGAAGTTCCCCGGGGCCATGATCTGAGAGAAAATTATCTTTGCTTTGCTGCAGAGTGCGTAATGGCCAGTGCATCAGCTCTGACGCAGCTCTGGACTCTTGGGCAAGAAAGAAAAATATGCAGAGCTTCTGTTTTCTCATCTGCAAAGAGAGGTTAAATGATTTTCCCAAAGTTATACAGCTCATTAATGAAAGGCTAAGGGTCAGAATCTTAATTTGTGGAGTTGCAGCAAGAATTCCAACGAGGCAATGCCTATGGTGTGCTTTGCAGGAAGCCTGACACTCATAAATCCTCAGTCGATGGAAGCCACTACTCCTACATGGAAAAATGGTGAAGGACTGAGGAAAAGTCTGTACAGGCTCAAGGTATGAATCTGTGCTCTGGTTTCCTGTTTCAAAAGTACATTTCTGAAATGTGTATGTCTCACTATCACTTGTCTGTTTTTCATTTAAAAATGAGCAGAGTGGAATGGTTTACAGCAATAGTTTTGAAACCTGATGGACTCCCTTTGAATCCTGACCCTGCCTGTTACTGTCACAACATGGGACTACAGTGTGTCACTGCACTTAGAGCTACTTCTCTAACATGCAGTTTTCTCTCTAGACTTTGAAAGACTGGGGTAAGAAGGAGATGAAATCATGTTTTTGAAGGTCTCAGCACCATGCCTGGCATACAGTAAATGACCAATAGCAATACTTGTGGTATAATTAGTAGTAATATATTGTAATTATAATAAATGTAGAAATTGAAACATTAATAAAATAAACAACCATCAAAAGTTTTTATTACATGTGGCTAATACCTGGGTCAAAAGAAACAAATTCTTGTTATGTATGGTGATTTGGTTACTTTTAACCTGGTTCTATGCTGCGAAAGTCCAGTATTCTTGTAATTTTTCCATTAAAAGAAGTCCAGTTCTGGGAAATTTGACAAATCTCAGATTTCCAAGATTAAATGGTGGAAATAAAATCAAATAAATTTTTCACTCTGGACTCAAGGTACCGGGATTAAAAATCCTACCTGTACCATTTATTTATGGTAAATGAAGCAACTTGACAAATACTCCAGGTTTAAAAATTTTAAAGATACATAATGGGTATAAAAATAACACCCAATTAAGAAGGCATTTGTAAAAAGTCATTAAAATCATGTTTGGGTTGGTTAGTGTGGCCCCTGATTTAGAGCCCAAAATCATTAATTCTTGTCACTCTTATTAACATTGGTCCAGATTCTCCATATATTGTCCTATTTTAGACCTTAGTATTCTTTATGTCCTTTAAACACTCAGTGACTTCATTCTTTCTCCCAATACATTTGCCGAGTGAATTCATGGATAAACTCTTTTATCCCAGTCTGTTCTCTAAACTTACACTCATCCTGGGGTGAAGAAGCCCTGGGTAATGCTTCCTACTTGACCACTAGTCAGTTGACCTTGGTCCAGTATCTCAATTTCTCTCCAAACTCAACTTTCTTACCTTCAGAACCATCAGGTAAGAAAGGAGAGGAAGCGGCACAGGTGACAGGGTGGGAATATGTGCCATGCACGTGGTGAGATACCTACAAAAGGAGCCCAACCCAGACTGAAAAACCTCAGGGTGTTGAATGTTGTCCAGAAATTGCATATGTAGAGGTTGGGATTCCAGCAAGTCAGTAACAATTGGGAGGTAAACATTTTAGAAGATAGTGTCAGATTATATTCCTAAATCTATCCTTAGTCTCATAAACTAAATCTTCATAGGGTCAGAAAGGAAGTTGACTTTGTTTTGGATTGACCAGGATTTTCTTTCTCTGTGTATCATATGGTCTAGGAGTCTAGTATGGAATTGAGTGTTTTCTAAGACCTGCTGTCCCATAAATTGTGCTCAATCTAGCAGCAGTAAAGACAGTACAGGGATGCCTTAGATAGACTGGGTTTTCAGTTCTTTTGGATATATGCTTTGAGTTAACATCAGTGTCTATGATTCTTCTATTTAATATAAATAAAAATAAGTAAATGAGCTCAAAATACGGAACTCATCTATGAAACATATTTATGTTTGGAATATTGTCTGGTCTTGGAGCCAAGGTTTTCTTGGTAAAAGTTTGCATGGATATCTGACTTTAGGAGCGATGAACTAGCACCCGACTGGCCTGGTACATGAGGTAGAGAATGGGCCTTCTCGGAGGCCCAAGTCCTAGCAAGTTTCTTCATAAGAATATTTAGAGGAGTTTGTGACCATCAGGAATGGGTGTTGAACCAGGTCCTACCCAAAATGAAAAGCTAAGCGTGGACAAATCATCCACTACTGCTAAAGGAAAATAAAAACATGCTGTATCTCAGTACCTAGGCAGAAGTTTGTGTTGAATGGTTTTCAGGTGCAAAAGTGATTTTTCTTCTTGAAATTTAAACAACTCCACTGTAGACTTGAAATCTGGATGGTTTACGACCAGCAGGTACACAGTATTATCTGAGAGGAGATTAAAAACAAAAATCAAAGCATTAAATGATCCCTCGGCTGTCAGCTCTGTCTCCAGAAAGCAATTTCAACCCACCTCCGATGAGTACTTAGGATGTCAGGCACGTGAATATTTCCATCTCTTTGTACAGAGAAGCATTTCGGATGGAGCCAAAGAAGAGTGTCTAAAGGAAGAATGGGTGACAGAATCTAAAAACTCAAAACTCCACAGGAAGAAAAATATCCTCAACTTTAGAACGAGTGTCACACTAATTCCACAGTGAGGTATTAGAGCTGCTGAGGCTTTAATGGTCTCCACAGGACGCAGCGTTCAGACAAAAGGGATAAAGAAGTAGAAACTGCTGGTAGAAGGCAGCTTAGGTATGATGATTGGCACGGTATCAGATAACAGGTGCCATAAGCAGAACAGCTGAAGAGGAGCAGATGGAAGCGTTTTCCATGAGCTAGTGGGACGCTAGGACCTGAAGAAAATTGGTCCCAGTGGTCAAAAAGACGTGATCAGAGCTTAGCAGGTGATGCACGATGACGGTCTCCACCTTAAGAGCGGTAAATCTTTGGGAACCTCTGACATGAACACATTGGTGTTTGAGGGCAATGATGAGACGTGCAGTCGGTTGAACCCAAGAGAACTGAAGGAGGACTACGATGCTCTTGATGAACCTAGTCCACCAACAAGTGTTTACTTATTTGTCGTGAAGTGCTTAAGCAAAAGTGAAGAACGAGAGAAAGGAGAGAGAGAGAGAGAGAGAGAGAGAGAGAGAGAGAGTGGAGAGAGAGAGAGAGAGAGAGAGAGAGAGAGAGAGAGAGAGAGAGAGAGAACGACTCTGTCCACAAAAGGACATGACAGGCTTTTGATGGAAGGCACTGACGGCCCTGGTGATGGCTGAGGAATGAGGGAGGCAAAAGTTAAACACAGGAGTCCCAAAACGGTGGAGCTTCTCCAAGACAAAGTGTCTAGAGATTGGAAAACTATAGCTTAGAAAGTAACCTGAGTGAGTGGAGTTTACCCAGAAACCATGAGAGAACTTTTTCACAAAAGAGAAGAAAATAGGATTAAGTGATACAGAAGAGATCACACAGCCGAAAAGGGGCTCTACAGCGCTACCTCCGGTGTCTGGCTAGCTGCCAGATGGGAGACAGAGAAACTAATCATTTTTTGCTCACAGAGACCTGCATTGGGATGGCAGGAATCACGTTCATTGGGAACCAGCGAGGGAAATGCAGAACACTGCTTCCTGAACGGCCTTCCGTGGTGAGCAGCTGGTGAGCGACCTCAGCGCAAGTGCCTGCCCCTACAACCTTGGAGCAGGAGCTGGCGGGGTCCCCTTTGTAGGGAGGGGCTGGGTGGCTGAACCTGGATCCCTGAGCAGCCCCTCAGCTGCTTCACACGGCCAAATTCCCGGATGAGGAAGGACAGTCACGGGAGAGCGCACTGCATGGGGGGCGTCTGCTGCGAGGCAGGGGCTGGTGAAGCCTGACCAGGCCCCTCGGTCAGAGGCCGGGTTCAGGCTGAGCTACACGGGACAGGAGGCTACACTGGCCCTGTCCTCACGGTGAGCAGATCTCTCCATACTGCGCCGCTCTGGGCCGGATGCTCCTTAGAACAGCGTGAAGACAGGCAAGGCCTGGCCTGAGCTCGGCCCCTAAACCCAGGCTGAGGGAAAGAGCCGTGTGTCCAAGAGATAGATAGAAAACTTCCTTTTACTAGTCTTTACTTGGTTGAATTACTTTTTAAAATTTTTTATTTTACTTTTTTTAATTCTTTGCTGTTTTCCTTCTTCTGTACATACTCTCCCGCAATTTTATTCCACTATTTTACCCTTTTTGCCTTTTATGAACACATCTGTGTATTTGTGCTTCACTTACTCTTGCCTTTTTTCCTCCAATATAGTTTATAGATGTACTTGAATTCTCCCTTGGAACCACTGAGCTAAATCCCCAGCTCCTATCCATATTTCTTCACCTGACTTCTTTCTCCTGTGCCTTATTCATTTTCAGTTTTTCTTTTCTTTCCATTCTCCCTTTTAATTTGTCTCCTTTTAACTTTTTCTCTAATATGTATTATCAGTCGTAGAATCTTTTCCCATCCCCATATCTCACTACCACTTTTGTGCTCAGTTTTCCCGTCTAAATATATAACATACCCTTAACATATACAGGATCCTTTGCCTGCCTCCTACTTCCTCTTTCCCATTCCACATAGCAGAGGACCTAAAACAGACAAACAAACCCTTTTTTCTTTTTCTTTTCTTCTCTTTTCCCTCCTCTGGCATTACCTGATTCCCCAACCCTCTGGGCTTTGGACAACTGATTCTATAAAATAAATGCTGAATGCTGTTTTCACCATTAGAGGAGACACAGCAATCATATTTAGTGCACATTAACTGTGGGTAAATACTTGGGCTGTTAATTCGCTTACACTATGATTGTAGATTTCTTCTCTAGGCTAAACGGAGACCCAAAACAGGGCCTCACGTTGTTTTATTTCTCAACTGGCCCTGATAGTTACCACTGTAACAGATTAGCCTGCTTTGGCTGTAGCTGATTTGACTGCACAGGAATACTCCTGACTCAGTGGACAATTCTGTGCCAGTGAACCTGTCTGCTAAATCCATCATCACACCCAGCAAGAGGGCCAACAAGAGTCCTAGCCCAAGAACTCAGACTGGATCAGACTCTGCAAGAATAGCTGCAACCTGATACAAAAAGGTTCTGAGTTAACTTCACTACTGCAGTGGTGGGATACCGGGGTGTGAGCACTCCAACTCTAGCAAAGACGCTACTTGGAAATCAGATATGCAATAAAATTTAATCTGTGTTCCCACTGGACATGTCATAGGTTTAAGTGTTAATGTGCATCTTGGTTTAGTTAGTAATGGAGTGCTCCAAGCCAGTATCACTCTAATCCCCAAACCAGATAAAGACCCATCTGAAAAAGAAAACTGTCAATCTAAAAAAGGAAACTGACAATTTCCTTAATGAACATAGATGCAAAAATCCTTAACAACAACATATTTGCAAATAAAATGCAGCACATTATAAAAAAGTTCATACATCATAATCACATAGGTTTCATCCTACAGATTCAAAGATGGTTCAATAGATGTAAGTCAATAAATGTATTGCATCACATAAGGTCAAAAACCATATGATCATATCAATAGATGCAGAAAAGGCTTTAGGGCTGGGGATCTAGCTCAGTAGTTCCATCACCTGTCTCACAAGCACAGGCCCTGAGTTCAATCTCCAGTACCAAAAAAAAAAAATTTTTTTAAAGGTGTACAGGAAATGGGAAGGGTAGTGGAAAGGTAAAAAGGAAAAGGCAAAAAATGAGAAAATGGAAATAAAGTATTTGTAAATAGGGAAGGGAGGAGAGGGTGACGGGAGGGCAGGGATAAGGGGAAAAAATACAACCAAGACCTGTCATGCAAAGGTACAAGATCCCAATGATGAATGTAACTATACTGCATACCTAAAATGTACCAATAAACTCAATGAGAAAAAAAGGCTTTAAATCCAATATCCCTATATATGATTTTTAAAAAATGAATAAAACAGAGATGGAAGGACCATACCTGAATATGACGAAAGCTATATATGATAAACCAACAGCCAGCATCATACTAAATGGAGAAAAACTGAAAGCATTCCCCCTAAAAGCAGGAACACGACCAGGCTGGCTAGTCTCACCACTTCTATTCAATGTAGTACTTGAAACATTAGCAAAACAATTAGACAAGAGAAAGAAAGAAAATGTATACATACAGGGAACAAAGAACTAATCATCATTATTTACAGATGGCACAATATTCTTCATAGAAGACCCAAAGAACTCCACCAAAAAAACCTCTTAGAATTAATAATAACCTTCATCAATCTAGCAGGATACAAGATCTACGCAGAAAAATCATTAGTATTTGTGTATGCTAACAATAACCTGGATGAGAAGGAAATTATGAAAATAATATCATTTGCTGTAGCTTCAAGAAAAATAAAATGCCTAGGAATTAACCTAACCAAGGAAGTGAAAAACCTCTACAAAGAAAACTGCAATAGTCTGAAAAAGGAAACTGAAAAAGACATGAGAAAATGGAAAGATGGCCTCTGCTCCTCTATAGGCAGATGCAATATTATCAAAATGGCCATGCTCCCAAAAGTGTAATACAGATTCAGTGCTGTCCAAATCAAAATAACAATAGCATACTTTACAGATCTAGCGAAAACAGTCCTAAAGCTCATATGGGGCCAGAAGAGACCCAGAATAGCAAAAGCAAGTTTGGACAATAAAAGCATATCAGGTGGCACAGCAAAACCTGACTTTAAGCTATAATACAAAGCAATAGTGATAAAAATGACATGGAACTGAAACAAAAGTAGATACACAGATCAATAGAACAGAATTGAGGGTACAGAAACTTCCTACGTCACATTCAGCTATTTGATCTTCAACAGGGGAGACAAAGGCACATATTGGAGGAAAGACAGCCTATTCAACAAGTGTTGCTGGGAAAATTGGTTATCTGTATGCAGAAGATTGAAACTAGACCCTTATTGCTCGATAGAAAATTAAATTCAAAGTGGATCAAAGATCCAAATATTGAAACAGAAACATTAAACCTACTGTAATATAAAATCGGTAAAACACTTGAAGACATAGGTATAGGAAAATATTTTCTAAGCAGAAGCTCAATTATACGAGAAATAGCAAGAATAAACAAATGGGATTATATCATCAGACTAAAAACTTCTTTATAGCAAATTAATCAGTCAACAGAATGAAGAGGCAACCTGCAGAATGGGAAAAAAATTTTCACAGCTACTCCTCAGACAGAGGACTAATATCTAGAATATATAAAGAACTCAAAAATTAAATCAGCTAAAATTAAAGATCTCGTCAAGAAATGGGCAAGAGAAATGAACAGATGCTTCACAGAGGAAGAGATACAAATGGTTAACAAATATGAGAAAATGCTCAACATATCTGGCCATTCGAGAAATGCAAATTAAAACAACACTAAGATTTCATCTTATTCCAGAAAGAGTGGCCATCATTAAGAAATCAAATGGTAACAAACCTGGCAAGACTGTGGTCAAAAAGGAAACCTTCATTGTTGCTGGGAATGTAATCTAGTACAACTATTATGGAAACCAATATGCGGATTTCTCAAACAACTAAAATTAGAAATTCCATATGACCCAGAGATCTCTGATAGGTGTCTTTCCCCAAAAGCTTATGATATCACACTACATGCACACCAATGTTTATGGCAGCATGAAGCAAATAGCTAAATCCTAAATACAGCCTGTATACCCATCAACAGATGATGGGGTAAAGAAAATGTGGTATTGATATATAATGGAATACTACTCTGCCATAAAAACGACAGCTTTCAGACATTTGTAGGAAAATGGATACACTTGGAAAATACAATGCTGAATGAAATAAGCTAGACACACGAGCTTAAATACCACATGGTATCTCTCACTTGAGTGAGGCAAATTACAAACAAAGAGAGTAGTAAGGATGGATAGAACAGGACAAGGGGTTGAATCTCTTGCAATAGGGAAGTGATCTAAGGGAACAAGGGCAGGGGGTGAAGAAGAGAGGAAGGGGAAATAAGTAGAATAAAGATACACCATGTTCAGGACCCTAATATCCTCAAAGAATGTAAACATTACTTGCCATAACATGAGCTAGGATCAATAATATCAACAAGAATGAAAAATACATAGGGGGATTGAAAGAAGAGGAAGGGAAGAGGAGAAAAGGGGAAGGGGATTAAAAAAGAAGAAACAAGCTGTGATATGTACAGTAACAGCTCCCCAAGATGACTGTAAACGGCATGATCTGCAAACACGTACAAATAGAAAATTTTAAAAAGAAGCTAAACAGTGGGGATTAAAGTGTAGATTCATTTCTAAGGAAATACTGAAGATCCACACACAAGAATGTTTCGGCATTTTTGGAATGAGCATAAAAGTGGATAAAACCTGAGTAGTGGTGAGCAGATCAACTGTATTCTGGTGCTCCCACACAGTGTGATCCATAAGCCATTACAAAGTGGTTCTAAAGGAACTGTAAGAAAAAGGGGTCCCCGATATTTAATGCCACAGCAACTGATAGAAGGGTTTGTGTAATACTACGCCATGTTATCTTTAAACATACGCACATGCCAAACACTGTGTTTATTTGCACTTGAAAATATTTTAAAAATACAATATAATGTTGAATGGGCGAATCGATAGAAGACCATTAAAAGAAGCACTTTGTCATGGAACTAAAGGGCTGACAAGAAAATAACAGTAATACCAATAACTCAGATTTGGGAATATTCTAGAGTATAGGTATGGTGACCCTGACTTAAAGTTTCTGAAATGGAATAAAGAGGCAGTAAAAGGTTGAAAAGAATCTGGGAAGAGGCTCAAAAATCTGTCAATGAGTGACGAAAGAATTAGCAAAGAGAACAGCTAAGATCGGTCAGAACCAGGGCAGATGAGTGCACTGGGATATCAGAAGTGGGTGTTTTCTTGAAGGAAAAACCAATCCGAAGTAGAAAGGTGTGGTAGAAGTAGGAGGGAGAGAGAAAAGGATAGGGAAAGGAAGGCAGGAAAAAAGGGAGGAAAGAGAAAAAGGCTGCTTGTTAATAATAACAATAATATCACTGATGACTTTCAAGGCAGCAGTTCTCACTCCCTCAGTAGGGACAGTTGGGAAGGGACTGAACAGGGACCGTGTGATAAGGATGGGGAGATCATTGGTACAGATGCTTTCACCACTGGCACCTTTTATTCTGGACAACTTTGAGCAAGTGCTCCCTCAGACCACAGGAATCAGAATCACTGGGTGTTGGGATTTTTCAAGCTCATAGGTGTTTCTGTGTGCAACTGAGATTGAAAATTGCTTTAGAAATTAAGGAAATAGGAGCACATAAAACTGTGATAAAGGATGTAACAGGTTATGTTGAAAAGTATCAAACTGAAGAGCACAGAAGAGAGTGCAAGTGGGCAGGAAGGCAAAGAGAACGACAGTGCTGAGAGAAAACTGCCCATGACAGCTTCCCTTCATTTCCTTTCTTTATTGCTTTTTCTTGTATTACCAACAAAGTCTAGCCATGCAGTTCAGGCTGGACTTCAATTCTCTGTTCTCCAGCCTCCCCAGTGCTGGGATTATGGGTGTGCACAACCATGCCTGGATAGATCTTAGTGACTTGCTGTCACTGGATGTATAGGTCACAGAGCACTTAGGTCAGAAAAGTTTATTCCTGTAAATGCCTCACTCTTTCAAGTTGTTTAAAATGGAAAATCTATATTGAGTAGGGATGAGTACGATCATAGTAAAGAAAAAGATAATGTGAATATTGGTGTTTTATAATCAGAAACTTTATAAACCTTAATCATTCATCATTCTCAAGCATGTAAGTCACTTAAATATTACATTTAGTTAACAGAAGGAGTAAGTTTAAAACTCAAAAGAACATGATTCATCTTATGCTTATTGGTTGAGACAAACCAATATCCACTCATGGGCTTATTTTTGTTTCTGTTTTAAATTTGACATTGTATATCAGTAAGCAGTAAACACTGTTACCTTCATCGGTGAAAGTGCTAATCCCATGAGGGTTAAAGGAAGATAAATCCAATTTATTTCCTATGATTTTCAGCTCTAACACTGCTGGATCATCTTCCTTTAGATCCATCAGGAGTATTTTTCCAGGCTTATCAGGTGCAAAACTCTTTATTCCGGGAAATTTTAATCCCTTAAAGGCAAGAGGAAAAAAGTCAGGTACATGACAACCACTTCAAATGCTAAGAGCAGAGTTCAGTGGCAAGTGCATTTACATCAGCCACTCCTGGCCTTGCTACAGGGCTGGTCACAAGGCTTCACGAAGCCTCTTAGCTGATGGTTCAATAGGCCCTTGGGAGACACTGTAAGTCCCATGCTCCTGTAGATCCCACATACAAACCCTCCCATCACCTGCAGCAAGGCTGAAAGTGACACAACTACCAGCCTCCCAGAAAGGCATACAACTACTCACTTTAAATAAAGTAGTAGAAGGCGGCCTAAGTCAAAGATTTAAATTGCCAGTTTAAGAAAGTATTCCAGAATAAAATCACTGAAAGAAAACACTCACAGTACTAATGAAAGCCAGTCCATTCGGTAGTATCTCCAAGTCTTCAGCACCCACTTCTACAGAAAAGAGAAAGTACAGATTGTTTCCTGTTTTTGCAGGAGCTGGAGAGTCAATTTTCATCACCCTTAACTTAAAAATAGGGTACTTTTGACAAATTCAGAGTAATTTATTCCTTCGTTTATTAATTCAAGATATTGATGTAATTATATAGAAATGTAAACAGATTAATATCATTAACAAGTGCAATTAAAATTTATATTTAATATATTTGATTCAAACTGATGGAGTAGAGTTTTTTCCTCAGTCTGAAAATTGATATAAAGTTTATGGAAATTTTCAAAATGTACAAAAAGTACCATTATTTGAAAAGAACTTGCTGTTTTTCTAAAGATGCAGAGTAAACTATAAATATACATTGATGTTTAAGAGTTCCAAGTAGAACAGTTTGAAAACCATATTAGAAGTATAAATAAATTCTAAATGTTTGAATTTAAATGAGGATACATTTTGGATGATCAAGAACACCCATTTACTATTACTTACAAATATCAACAAAATATCACTCTTTCAAGTTAATTAGGCTTTAAGTACACATACATTTTTTAAAATTTCAATTAAGCTAGACACAAATGAACTATTTGGCTTTATATTCATACTCTTAATGGAGATGTATGCTTCTCAAATAATTTTGGTCAGAAGACTGGATGAGGCTTCTGTTCTAGCATTCAGAACTGTAGTCCACTGAGATATAATTGTAAAAACAAAAACACCAACCAACCAACACAAATAAGAGCACATATCTCAACAAGCTGGTTGGTTGAAACCAGAGGGGGAGTTGAATCCTGGGACATTGTCTGTTGGTTTTTCAACAGCTGGTATTCTTCTACTCTGTCATCCTTGCTGACAGGGCTTGCCTCCCACAGTGGAAACCAGGAATTACTTTCCAGCTTCCCTTGCAGCTAGGACACCAGCCTGTCCTCTAGCTTTGACTAATGAGATCTAAATGGAACTTTGTTGTGAGCTTCTGGAAAAAATTTCCTTTCCAACCTTCATGAAGGGGGGCCTTGTGGTAATTGCAAAGGTCTGTGACAGCTTTTTTTCCTTTAAAAATGTATTCTTTGCTGGATGCTTCATCTTCCTCTTTCTTTTGTCTTCTGCCGTCTCCTGGTTATATTACTATAAAGCCGAGACTTTTTATTGTTTCTATTGACCAAACAAAAAAAAACTGCCAACACACTATCAACATGTTGGTGAAGTCAAAAGTCAAACTATATGATATTTATAATTAACTATTGACTTAATAATACTCTCCTGGCTCAACATTGTATTTTTGGACAAAATTAAACTGGTGTATTTATGAAATAAATAGCAAGATCACACACTAGCAGTTTAAAATGAGACACTTCTTCTTCTCATACATACCTATTCCCTTAACAAGATTACAGTTAGGAAGTTCCACTGGTGTTACTTCACGGAAAGCATTAAGTCGTTTTCTAGAAGGGAGAATGGCACACACATGAAACTATTAAGATATTAGAATTAAGTTGTAAAGGTAAGCAGTCCACAAATTTCCCTTCACTGTACTTTGCCTCGGTTATAACCTCAGAGGCAGTGGCCCTGGTACCTGCAATGCTACGAGGCAAGGCCAGGGCAAAACCAGTGGGGACCTTGGGGCATGACATTGAATTGTGTAAGGACTCTTGTGTGCAGAGGTGAACAGATACACAAAAGAGACACGTGGTGTCCTCTCTAGTCTCTGTGCACTTTGCAGGACTAGGAACTATTTCATCAATCATGTGGAGACTCCTACGTGGAAAGTTCCATTAAATGGCAACATGGCTCCAATTTAGCCCATTAATGCTTCAGAGCTGCTGACAGATAACCCTCCTAACACCTCCCCAGACTGGCTCCACAGTCAGGCCTGGGCATCTGCTTTCAGACTTGCTTTCACCTTATAAATGGTGTGTTTAAAGGATTTGAAACTTCAGAAAATTATAGCCAAAGCCAGGCTATACAAAAGCTTTACATATGCATACCTGCACACACACACACACACAAGCAATTTATTAAATCTGAGTATATAAATATGGGGAAATTTGGGGGGAAGGACAAATTAAAAAGGAATAGATGTGAGAAGGAGATGCCATCGGGCTTCCTGAGCAGAGCAAAGGGGAAGCATAAGAAACCAACAAAAAAACAGACTATAGCTTAGCACAGAGAATTAAACAATACATGAAATTTCAAGAACAGATTACATATTTTCAAAAACACCTAGGAATCTTCCTAAACATAGGTTGAGGAATTTTTCACCTTCCTTCCTGGAGATTTAGTGTCACTGAAGGAGGAAGATGGGCTAGAGGTAAACAGACACTGCGTACAATTCTTACCAACATGCTACACACTGCTAAGGATTTATCACTGAGCTTTCATTCATTCGTTTATTCAGAAAAAACCAGCATGTTCTGCTGCATTCCACTGGCTACAGATTCCACTGTCATAGTGGGTCTGGCCTGGTGATCTGTTTTGCGGAAGCATCCCCACTGGCCTAATGGACAGTTAGCACAGAGAACCACAGATAGACAGAAGAACATGAGAGGAGAAAGGTTTGGTCTGGAAGGAGATTCTCGCTTTCGAAACAATCAAGGTGAACTTAGAAGTCAGACTTCAAGGGAAGCAAGATCTGACATTTTATCTGGGAAGCCATAATGGAAATCTGACAGTATAATTACAAAAGTTTACAAAAAATAAATAAAAAGGAAAACAATAAAGAAGTGGTCCACAAACTTTCAGGCTCAGAAACACATTAGGAAAAGCTTTGTACGTGGCACAAATGCACACGCAACACACACTCACACCTCACCCCCATTTGAAAAAGGTTGACAAACAAATCCCTAATCCATGTGATATATTCTTACCTTTTCTGTTCAATTTTACATCATTTATTTAAAAATGCTGGTGATGGTCTACTAAATGGATTGTGAACCATCATTATGAAAGACCCCAACCTAGCAAAGGTGCAGCCGGTATTCATACAGATGCCCCAAGGAACTCAAAAGATTGATATGAAATGCTAAGGATAAATGAAGACCACAGTTAAGGACAATGCACAGAGTGGTCTGGAAAAAGGGAGTCAAGGATGTGAAATTGCTGAATGGGCCCGAACTTCTCGAAAATACTGAACAGCCAAATTAGCTGCCCCCCACAAATGCACAGAAAGGGTAAGCCTGGCTCATAGGGTTCATTAAATGTGATCAGTGCGCAGAGGACAGAGAAAGGCAGAACTGCTGGGGTCCTGTTCTAATCCACACATCTCTATCCTGCAAGATGGTCTCGAACCTGCAAATGGTAGAAGAGTCACAATGAATGACAGCTCAGCTCAAAAGGAAACATTAAGTCTGCACCAGCTCTTTGAGTTTTAATTCATGGCCAGCACAAGTCTTATCTCAGTGGGCCAGCATTGACACAATAGTTCAAGTGCTGTGCACACCTTCATTTAACCTCCAAATACCTCCCAGATGCACTGTTCTCCCTAATTACAGATGACTGGATTAAGAGGGCTTCTAAGGCCACATTGTTATAAAATGGCTAAGCTGGGGTTGGAAGCCAAGCAGGAAAGCAAGTCTCCCATCGAATCCTCTGACAAGGAAAAATTTATGAACAGCATTGCTTAACAGCTGGAAGAGGCACTTGATTCTGTACTACTTTATCCAGAGCATATCTTACTGCCTATTCTGAAATTACCAGGAAATATTTTGTCAGGAGCTTGATGAAGTTCAAATGTTCCAGGTCTGAGTGATAAGGCTCACTGTCTGAGATAGGTCCCTGGTTCACAAGCCTCTGAAGTCTGTCCAGAAATTAGCATTTGCAAATATACAAATATATGCTGGCCCCTTTTCAGAGAGAGAGAGAGAGAGAGAGAGAGAGAGAGCGCACTGCACATCCAGAAGTCTGTTCTGGAACTTTGGGGCCACATGTGTCCTCAACAGACAAGTTTCTGCTGCCCTTCACTCTGCATTCACTCAGTTTCCTTTCTGAGACCTACTATGTGCCAGGCTCTGGGCTAAGGGCTCTCACATATATTTCCTCATTTAATCTCCTTTGGGACAAAGATCCCTGTTTTTCTTGTTTTGTTGGTAAGAAAACTGAGGTTCAGAGAAGCCAGGTCATTTCCATGTGGTCTCTTATTTAAAAAGGTAGAGTTGGCTTTCAAAAGCAGGTGTCATCTGAAGACCAGGTAAAGGCAGCAGTTTCTACTGTTTGAGAAACATGGCTCCGTCAGGTTTGGTGAAAAGGGCGGTGCAAGACCCAGGCACAACTCCTGTCCGTGTCAGGCTAACTCATGTGGTGGACTCTGTCACCACAGCAAAGCCACTGGAGAGATTTCAAACAGGAAAACCTAGCATAGGGCTGAAGGCCACAAAAACCATCAAATGAGATGAGGCATCCCATAGGGGAAGATCAAGGGATGGGGAGCTGCAGCAGAGCCCCGCATGGCTGCACCATGCCCCGAGTGCCTCTGGGCAGCTCTACAAACACCAGCCTGTCTGCCACTGCCCTTTGGTACCCTGCACCTGTGACCCTTCACTGCCACTGGCCAGCGTAGGAACCTGCACCTCCGCGGCTTCTGCCGCCTCCGGCCTGCCAGTCTCCCAAGACTGTGCATGCCCCAGCTCCAGCAGCGTCCCTCTGCGAGGGATTGTGGGAAATCAAGGTCTCAGGCTCCGGGACCTTTGTCTCGAGAGCAGACAAATGTCCCCGACAGGGACGACACCCCTGTTAGCAAGAGACGCGACTCCCGTACAGAGCCGAGCGTGGGCCAGATCTGCAACAGTTAGGGAGAATACGCACGTGTGTAGGAGTGTTGTTCACTCTGTCCCCGGCACCCAGAACAGTGCTATGGAGATAGTAGACATTCAAGAGATGCTGGCTTCTGGTAAGCATTTCTGCTGTAGAAAACTCCTGTCTCGAAGATGCCCCAGTCTCCATATAATGGAACTGTAATAATTGTATATTCCCCTCGGATGATGATGTGTTAAGATATATCAGAGCCTGGAGAATGTACATACTGTGTGGCCAGTGATTTATAGAATTTATTATAAAGGAATAATAGACCTGATGTATAAAATGGCGTGTTTGTAATACAGCAAAATGTAAGTGTCCTTTCATGTAAAATGTTATATTGTATATTTCTAGAATGAAATATTATGCAGTTATTAAAAATGATGGGATGTGAGTGAAAAAATTAGGTGACATAATAACGACCCTTCCTTGTGTCCCTTCCCTGTCCCTTTTCTTTTCCTCACGTTGCCCCTCCACCTGCAATGCCCTTTATTGCCTTCTCCATGGAGAGGGCCTTCCACGACCTCCTGCAGGTGTACCTAATCTTCCTAACTCCCTGTCCATCCTCATGACACTTCACATGTGTATGCACTGGGGCTCTTGACCTGTTGTTTTGTTGGCTTTTGGTTCTGTTACTCCCTGTGCACTCTGCCTTTGGTGAGTGAATTCTACATCCTGCCGATCCCTGTGACTTCCAGTAGGAACAAGGCGCCTGTAAAAGGAGGAGACTCTGCAGATGTCCTTGGCTTGTTATGTGGCACTGAAGCCTAGGGTGTCAGGTTGTGAAGGTGGTATGCGTGCATTGACTGGGGAAACTGAGGCTTGGAGGGTTTGTCCTTGGCCTAGGGTTTCAGTGAGGTATGATGATAGGTGAGTTTCCGAGATCTCACATGGCAATTACAAAGCAAACAATTATAGGACATCTATTATGTGCCGAATTTTGTATATACCTTACTGTGATATGTGTGATTATCCCGCAGTTTTCAGGCAGAGAACAAGGCTAAAACTTTTCTTGTGGTAAAGTTTTTTTTCCAGGTTTCAGTCTATAGTCAGCTAACTCCAAGGTAGGGCAGCATGGCAGAGAGGCACAGCAGAGGAGAAACAGCTAGTGACGTGGAAGTGGGAAGCAAAGAGCCATCAAGGAAGGAGCGAAGGAGACAGACCACCCAACTACGTCCCCAGGAATCCACCCTCTCCAGCCAGGCCTCACCTCCCAACATCACATTTAGCCATAAACTCATCAGGGGACCAATCCACTGAATCCAATCCATGATCCAGTCACCTCCCCAAAGCCCCACCTACGAGTGCTGGAGGCTGTGGAGGGACATCTAGCTATAAATTGCAACAGTGGTAAAATAACTTGAAAGTTGTAGAAATGTGACTTAACCCAGAAGATCAGAAATGCACCATGACCCTCTCCGCCACAATGGGCTGCCTAGAGTGGGCGTTGGACGGCAGGGGTGCACAGAGGTACTGAGACCGGCATTTCCTTCTAGAAAAGGGAAACAAGTGGTCTCAGCATTATGATGGCAATTTAGGAAAGTGCCCCTGCGGGCCCCACGCAGCAAGCCTGAGGTGCTGTTGTCCTGGGCCTTCCTGGGCTGATGCAAGGCCATAAGTTTTCAAGGATGGGCAGGGGCATGGGGCCCAGGGACACATTCTCCACCCTTCCTCTCTGTTCTTCCCTCCTCCTAAACTCAGAAAATCCCTCCGGATACCCTTTGTAGGTTTCCCCAAACTCCCCCAGCCTGATCCCAGTGACTGCCTCTGAGAGCTCTACATACATTTGCCCATCCCTGCAGATCAAAGTGGAAAGCACCGTGTGGGCCTGCCATTGCTTTGCTTCTCTCCCTTGGGCAAACTCATGATCTTCCCTGAGAGGGAGGCGCCATCTCTCCGAAAAGGGGATAAAGGGTATTTTTTGATTGTCCAAGACCTTTCGCTCTGGTTCTAACATGGGTGATGGCAGAAGTGAATGCCCTTTACAGAGTTGCATATCAACCCCCTGGGGAATCTGTGAAGCAAGGTTGGTCAGCTGAATAGTGTCAGACAGGGCCTGAGGTTGGACATGACAGGTTCCAGTAGCAAGGCGTTTGTGCCTTCTGACAGTGGTTGATTTCCCTGCCTACCCCTGGGTGGGCTACTCCAGGAGGCTCTGACCCCATCTCCCCTGTCTGTATAAACTCTCCTGACAACAGTTCTGTGATTAATGAAAATGCACAGTAGTTTTTCTATTACTTAAAAGTTTAAATCATTAACTGCTTTTTTCTAATATTTTAATATTTTGAGATTTCAAAATTCAATTAGAAGAAAAAAATCACAAATAGTGTGTTTAAAACCTATTCTAAGTGAAAGCTGCTAATTAGACCATAGAGCACATTTTTTTAAAATCCAAAATGTTGTGTTTATATTAATGTTTGACTTCAGAATAAATATTATTGACTAAATCTTGTGGGGTGATCTCTAGACTTTGAACTCCTGAAAAAGCTGCCACAAAATTTCCGATACATTCTTAAAACATTCCCTCCACCTCCAACACCCCAGCAGATTGTTCAATATTTTAAAGAGAAGCAGGAAAGTAACGTTTATTGCACAGCTACTATGTTCCAGGCCCCTTGTTAGGCGCTTCGTATTTGAGTGGGTATAATTGTTCCCAGTTTACTGCGGGAACTGAGTTTTTGAGATCAAAATAGTTTGCCCAGGATCCCACACTCAAGGGAAGAGGCAAGCGTGGGACACCAACCATGGACGCCAGGAGTTATCTCCTCTCCGCCCAGCCTCCTGGGGCCTCTGGACGCCTGCTCCTGCGTCCCTGGGTCCCCCGCATGCAGCTTTTCGGTCCCAGCTAGCAGGGTCTCAAACCGAGATTCTCCCGGCCTAGGAAGGTGTGCGTCAAGGCTCGCCATGGCTCTCCTATCCCTAAAGCCCGGGAACCAAGGCACCCAGGCCGTTACTGGGTTTTCTCCGCGGATCGAGAAGCAGGTGTGTAGCCAGCCACACAGCGCCTCATCTCATATCAGTGTCCGTGTGCGGACAACTTGCCTTTCCCGCCTCGCCTCGCACACACGAACCTGGGCAAACGTCCACGAAGCCCGGGTGGGATGCGAATCCCGTACCTTTGCGGACCCTGCTTTGGGGGCGGTGTGCTCCTGGCGCCCTCACCTCAGCCCGACTTACTGGTAGGAAGAGCGGTGGTCCCTGAGGAGGGCCAGCGCCAGCCCCGCGATGGTGAGCATCAGCAGTTTCGCCATGGCGCGCGGGGCACGGACGGGAG